GCTGACCAGCGGCAATTTTGGACCGATGGCAAAAATGCAACGGTTCTTCAGGAACAGCATTGCGAGGATGCAGTGGACCTAGTGGCTCTGTCCCAGTCCGCGTAGGACTTTTCAAAGAAATTCAAGATGACGTGTGTCCTAGAGAGTTCGCTCGGCTCTTTTTTTGTCCCCCTGGGTGGCTGAGAGGCTGACAGTGTAGATCATGTAGTAGCAGCAGAAATAGTAGTGGTAGTGTTAGTGGTAGTGTTAGTAGTAGTAGTAGTAGCAGCAGTAGTAGTAGTAGCAGTAGTAGTAGCAGTAGGAGTAATGCCTTGAAAGGCAAAGTCCGCTCTGGCTTGCTGGGGCTCAATCTCTCTCTCCAGGACCTGTTCCAGCACCTCCAATTCTGCTTCTGTCTGCTTCAGAGCTTGCCCATAGCAGCGATATAAGGCTGCCAATTGTCGAGTTTGCCCCTTTGCCATCAAGCGTTTGCTGAACAGGATTCCGTGGCGTTCAAACAGTTCCAATGCCAGGACATACTTGTGTTTTTGCAGGCAGCTTTCCCAAGTGCGTAACTTGCACAGTTTTTGAACCGAGCATGAGGAAAAATAGAGCTAGCGCAAGACAAGAGGCCCTTCACACACCCAGGTTGTGTGCCACAGCCAAGGATTTTGAGTGGCTGAGTGGCTGGTGTGACACTCGCTAAGGTTGAGGGCTAGTGAGAGTTCCTCTTTTCCTTTGAAGGCTCGCCTCCTCTTCTCGTCTCCCATGCGTTCCCTTTTGCAATCTTTTGCTCGTACCCCTGAAGTGCCAGCTGTCCTCCTCTCCTCCGGATCCCGGACCCGCGTGGCTTTCCAAACCGGACCTGTCACCGCCCACCGGGTGAGGAGAGCGCGCCGTGCCCATGTCACAGCCGTCACACGGTGTCCACAAACTCTGCCGAGATTCCTGAGCCTCACTGACGCGTAGAATCGTAGAAGTCAACCTGTTGCGCGCGGGGCGGGCACCCTCTGCCCTCTGCCACTTAGTGGAGCCGGAAGGAGGACACAAACGGCAGTCGGGTGAGTGCCCCCACATCCAAATGGCGGTGAGCTGAAGCTGTGGGTGAACGGTGGTTTTACCAGCCATTCGTTTACAAAAACAGATCCAAAGTTACAGATATTATCAGATAATTTATATATATATATATATACATATATATGAGCCACCTCACTGTTAGTTGAGGTTTTCATTTCTATTTGGAGTTTTCACCTTGCCCTTGCTTCCAGGGTAACACCCCTGAACTCCGCTACACTTCATTGATGTTTGTATTCAGGTGATCGGGTGAGGAATGGGATGGGTGGATGTATGTGGGAGTTTTTCTTAAATAGGATCTCTTGCAAAAGAAGAACGCACCGAAAGATGCAAAGTTGTGGTGGTTTTCATTTTGTTCGGTCGGCTTGTGGGTTTGATGTGTTGACTGAATGGGTTGCATAAGCACCTCTTGAGAAAGAGGGATGCACTGCAAGGTGCGCATCCAGCTCTATGGCACACTGAACGCTAGGATTTTGTTAAAAACAATCTTGATCAGGCCCAAGTTCATGATGTTGATCTTCATGCTTTATATTTACGATGTTGCAGCGATGGTCAGAAGCGTGGGCTTGCATGTCGATTGGTGTGGCTTGGCTGTTGCATTGTGCACTGTACGGCGGAGCTTGCACTAAGATTTGATGCAGTGAGTGACAACTTGTAGTAGTGGACCACTCTTCAAATTCCAGGAGTTGAACGCTTTCTATCCTGGAGCAACTGATTGTTTTGTGTGCGAGAACCTGTGTTCCATGTGCTTTGTTTCAATTTCCTTTGTCAACCAGTTTCTGGAATTCCAGAAGCTGGACCAACCCCATGGAATTTGCAGGGGTTGTGCAAAGAAACTTTTCCAACAAACATACTGACCGAACGATGGAAACTTGTGTGACCAAACGGCAGAAATCTCGTTGACCGAATGCCAAAAACGTAATGTGCCCCCTGGCAGCGCCCGAACGACGGTTGTTGACCGAACGCCAAAAACTTGTATGGGCACTGGCAGTGCCCGATCGACAAACCCAAGAGTGACCGGACGACAAATCTCAGAGCTTACCCTGCCATCAGAAGGGGGGTAGCTGTCCAGCCCTCAGATGGCATGGGCACCGCCAGTGCCCGAACGAAGGAACACCAACCAGCTTACCTTGTTTTGTGAAGGGGGGTAGAGCTGTCAACCCCTCAGATGGCAAGGGCGCTGCCAGTGCCCGAACGAAGGAGCACCAGGAACCATCTTGATCAACGTCATCATGTGAAAAGATTTTTGTAAACCAAAGAGCTTAACCTGCCATCTGAGCGGGGTAAGCGCTTCCTGGCTGACAATGAATATCACTGTCAGGTACACCAAACGCCCTCAGATGGCATGGTCACTTGCAGTGCCCATGCCATTTGAGGGGTTGGCGGCACCCCCCCTCAGATGGCGGGGTAACCTTAATGCTATCATTGAAAAGATTTGATAAACTATATAAATAGCGTGCCAGTGTGCCCTGTGTTAATGCTATCAATGGAAAGCTGTTTATATACCAAATAGTGCACTGCACCCTGTGTTCATGCTATCAATGGAAAGACTGTTTTCGCCAAATAGCTCACCCTGGGGCTGGATGTTTATTCAACCCTCCAACATTTTTTTCAACCCTAACCTTTTTTTTCAACCCTCCAAGACGCTTTTTCAACCCTGGGTTGGAAAAAAATGTAACCCCTACTAAATCAACCCATGGTCCGTATATTCCAACCTTTTTTTTTCACCCTGGAAACATGCCTTTTTCACCCTGGAAACATGTTTTTTCCACCCTTGAACCTTTTTTCCAACCCATAAACATGCTATTTCAACCCTATGACACGCTATTCTAACCCTGGGTCGCACCGTGGGGGGCTGGCCTTTCAGTCCTAGGATGTAGCCGCCTTCGTCGGAAGCTCGAACGATTCGGCCGCCCTATTCTGCTATCGCTGCTGGTCCTTCTCCACCGTCTTCCTTTTGCTTTGGCCTTGCTGGCTGGCTGCTGCCAACCTCCACCTGCAGCTTCCGCTGCTGCCGCTGGTGCTGCTGCTTACTGCTTTGCTGTGCTGCAGCCACTGCTGCTACCGCTGCTGCCGCCGCCGCTGTTGCCGCTGTTTGTGCCGACGCTTCCTTTTTGCTTAGCTGTTGCTGCTCTGCTGGTTTGGATGCATGCTCGTGCTCAGAAAGAGTCGGCAGCGCACGCAACATCGCCGCTCCGAGCGACATGTTCCCAGAACAAATATGCTCGGTGCACTTTTTTAAGATTGTCAAATGGTCACAACAGACCGAGCCCTCTGAAATCCCGAATATCATGGCTACTATGCACGCCCTCCTACACCCAGGCCCCCCCTGTTGAAACCTATGTTCAGACATTAGTAAGGCCTAAGCAGGCTTCAAACCTCAGTTTCTACTCGGTAGGCGCTCAACACAGCATGGAACTCTTACTGGGATGTTGTTTTCGGGCTGGGTGTTTTTTTATGCTAATGGTTTTTTTCTTATGCTCATAGCGGGGTTGGTGTGCTTTTGGGGTATGGGTTTCTTTTTTTATGCTTATAGTGCTTTTTTTATGCTAATGGTTTTTTTCTGTTGTGCTTGCAGTTCTTTCTTTTTTGCTCCTGGTTTCTTTTTTTATGCTAATGGTTTCTTTTTTTATGCTAAGGGTTCTTTTTTTTATGCGGCACTGTGGGAAAAGGTCACGTTGGGGGGTCCTAGTGCAGAATGTAATTGTCAGGAGGGTTTAGTGCAGAATGTAATTGTCGGGAGGCTTTAGTACAGAATGTAATTGTCGGGAGGTTTTAGTACAGAAAGTAATTTTCGAGAGGTTTTAGTACAGCAAGTAATTGTCGGGAGGTTTGAGTACAGAAAGTAATTGTCGGGAGGTTTTAGTACAGAAAGTAATTGTCGGGAGGTTTTAGTACAAAACGTAATTGTCGGGGGGCTTTAGTACTGAATGTAATCGTCGGGGAGTTTTAGTACAGAATTAAATGTCGGGGGCCCTTTAGTATCGAATGTAAGCGTCGGGGTGTTATCGAATGGACAATTATTCATGAACGAACCGTTCAGTGAAAGGTGATGCATCCGTCAGCAGAAACCGAAAAGTGATGAGTTCCAGTATCAACTGATATCAGAACGGTAGAAATGTGGCCAAATGGGCTCCAGTCAGAAATCAGGGTCGCTTCGTGCGGTGTCTGTGTGGGTCCGTCCGGCATGGGTGGGCAGTGATCAAGCTCCTCTCTCGTTGGATCTCCTCGCTGGAGTTTTTTGGTTTCCGCCAGCAAAGAAGTTTTCATCGGGGAAGAGTTTGCATGTCACCATCCAAGAAAAGACGCGACTTCCACAGAGCCTCTGCTCATGCCACGCGTCAGAATGCTTCCGATCGAAAACAGGGCCGTTCTTCTGCCAGCCGTTGTTCTTCCCGACGCAGAAGGGCTTTGTGGCTGGCATGGAGGGCAGATGGCCATTCCACCATTCCAGCAGACAAGGTTTGTTTGTTCTACCGTCTCGCCCTTGCCGCCAAAACTGGAACTGGAGTGTTGGGTGAATTTCTTTGCAATTCCTTGCCTGTGCAGCCGCCGGTCAGAACTCGGCAACGAGATGTTTTTCCCTTGGCCCCGCTTGCGATGATTGTTTGCGTGTTTTTGAATCTTTCTCCAAGGGCCCGAAAGACGAATATGCAAAATTGGTTGTCAAGCAGCTGCGGTGTGGTAAGTTGAGTTTAGCAACTTTTTGCAAGGGTGGTGGTACCACTTTCGCTGTTGGGAAGCCTGGGGGTGAACGCCTGAGGGAGGTATGGCACGGCCGACGTGTTTGAGAATCAGCTTCTGCACCTCCAAAGCCGAGACACTTGGCTTCCCCAACTGCGTTGACCTTTCTGGAGTGCAGCGATGGAAGACCACTACGCCTTAGCAAGCGCGATGCTACGTGTTGGTTTGACCAGTTGAAGCTTCCCAGCTCTCTTCGTCAATACATGGCCAAACCGCCCATCTCCACAGTGGAACTTGTCAATGCTGGAATGTCAGTGGCGGATCAGCGGCAGCACATGGAAGATGGACATGCTTGGCGCGAAGGTTTGCTATATCCTTTGCACTGCGTCTGGCCTATGGGATTTTCTTGGTCTTCTTACATAGCCCAAGAAGAGATGCTGAGCGTTTGTCAAGATGCTGGCATACCAACTTCATCTCTCTTGGCTTGTGATTGCGTGACACCTACATCGTTTGAGCTTGTTGCTGCGGTGGCCACCGATGATGTCATGATTTTCAGCGACGCTGGCCCTGGTACCACCTGTGAAGCAGCAAGAGCTTTCGATGCAGCGATGGATGCACGATGCGCAGTCCGAAATCTTAAGAAGGACGTTGACGACGCGCTCTGTGGTACCTGTGTCGGGGTTGACTTAGTAGACGGATACTTTCTGGATGTGCCGGGGGGACGCTACTTGGCCATGATTCTGACATTTCTGCACCTGCACAGATGCAGGGTGGGCACGCCGCGGCAGGTCCACCAGCTCTTTGGGGTGCTGCAATGGTTTGACCTCCTGATCAGGCCAAAGCTATCCGTTTACAGTGCCATCTATGATTTCACGATCAGTGACAGTCCTGATGCTGTACCGCTGCCTGAGCGGGTGTTGGCGGAGCTGGCGTGCAGCCTCTGTCTGGGCATGTTTTGGCGCTGCGACTTGAGAAGGCGTTTTTTGCCGATGCTTGGTGCAACAGATGCCAGCTTATCCTATGGTTTGGGGGCAAGCATTGTGCGTGCCTCGGAAGAAATGGTCCGAACGGTTGCTCGCTGGGCTGAAAAGCAAGGGGCTTTTGTAGTTATGGACGGTGATGCTGCGAAAAGTTTGAGCGCTGAGCGGATGCTGGAGGCACGGTACCTCAATTTGAAGCTTGAGCACTTTTCCGACATCTTCAGTGTTCGCTCCAAATTTCCTGCACACATCAACGTCCTGGAAGGTGAGGCATTCGTGCTTTTCTTGAAGTGGCTTCTGCGGTCCACCAAGCACCACTCGACAAGAGTTGTTGTTCTGCTTGACTCTGCAGTTTTTCTGGGCGCGGCCGCGAAAGGGAGGTCATCTTCACAGTTGAACAGGCTGTTGCGGAAGGTCGCTTCTCTGGCGATGGCTGGAAATCTTCAGCTGCATTTTATCTTTGTCCCCTGCAGCGAAAATCCAGCGGATTTCCCCTCGCGTGGCAAGAAGAGGCGAGCGCGAAAGTGAAGCAGCTCTAGGCTGCACGGAGTTTTTCGGAAGCCCTGCCTTTCTGGCATGATGTGCAAACTTCCGAACTTGCACCCTAGAATTCAATTTTGTCAATTTTGAAGGGTGTTCGTGTTGCTGGCGCTCGGCGTCCTACATCCGGGCACGCTGCGGTAGATTCTGCGCGTTCTGGCGCAGAACTGGCTCCGACGGGCAGCTGGAAGATGCTTGGTGCTGATGTTGGGCGCTCGGGCTACTGTGAGTTTGCTCCGCTCACAAAGGCCTCAACGGCGCACTGGTTGATGTGATAATCTGCTCTCTGAGACCCACACACACAACTGGTGGAATTCTTTTTGGTTTTGTCGGCAGTGATTTTCTCTCACAGCCAGTGCCGGTGGTCGGGATTGATGATCATTAATGCTGGACCTGAACAAAGCTGGCAAAGTCAGCTGTGGACAGTGGTTGTAGCATGATCAAGTTCTAACCTCTCGGCAATCGCACCCGGTTCACAAAAGATTCGCATCCTGTCCTTGCTGCACGGTGCTGCTTGGCCTGAAACTCCTGGGAGGCTGGAAGGAGAGGTG